GGAGAAGAGATCCTTGGCCTCATGAAGGCTGGATCTCTTCTCCCACCTATGCCCAGCAGGGCCCTCCACTCTTACATATACAGCTGAAGCCATGGATCCCTCCCTAAGTGCTCCCAGGCTGGTGGTTTAGACCCTGGGAGCTGTGGTTGGTTGGTATTGTTGCTCTCCTCATAAGACCAATATTTTAAAAGAGATATATTTGGTAAAGAAATTTTACAAGATCAATGTAAAATAAATATTTTAAAAAAACTTATAGCTGTATTGCTTCTCATTGCTTTTATAAATAGAATTTGGTGTTATAAAGGTCTGTTTTTTTTGTTTTTTGTTTTTTTGGTTTTTCGAGACAGTGTTTCTCTGTGTAGCCCCGGCTGTCCTGAAACTCACTCTGTAGACCAGGCTAGCCTCGAATTAAGAAATCCACCTGCCTCTGCCTCTCAAGTGCTGGGATTAAAGGCGAGCTCCACCACCACCCGGCAATGTTATAAAGTTTTAAGCTCACAGGAAATATTAGTTTAAGTACAATAAGAAAGACAGCTCTTTAGCTGTAGGATACACCACAGTGGAGCAGATTGAGACTCAGCTGCTTATCCAAGTTGACATCTTTTTATTTTGTTTCACTTTTTTTGCCTTCAGGGGCTAGAACCTGGGTCCTCATACAAGCTAGGCAAGTGCTCTACCACAGAGCTACACCCATAGTCCTACAGTGTTATCTTGATGTCAGAGCTAATAAATGTGTACACTGGATAAAGTATATTCATAAAATGTTATTTTAAAAATTTTCAAACATTTTTAGTACATTATATTGTCATTATTAAATGAATAAATAATGTTGGATATTAATTGTATTTTAATAATTATTTTTAGAACCTGCCTTCAGGATCATCACGGGTTGGAGCCATTAAACTTACCTACATCTCAAAGGTAGACTTTATATACTATTTTAAAAATTAATTAAATTTTTTGTTGATCTTTGATATTTCTGAGACAAAGTCTTAACTATGTAGCCTGGGCTGGCCGTGAGTTTTCAGTCCTCCTGAGTGCTGGGATTACAGTGTGTGCCACACATGCAGCTCTCATTATGTTACTGTCATATGTGATTTCTGCCCTAGGTAGGAGTGTGGACAGAACAGAGCAGCTTCTCTCTTTCAGTTAGCAGTGATGCTCAGGTTCTGGGCATGCTGAAGATATGACAGTACTTGACTACTGTTGTTAGGCAGTTCTTAAAGTTGATAAAACTGGAAGGAATATGAGTTTACGTTATGGGATGTGACAAATTACATAAGTAATATTGCCTTTTATGATCGGGTACAGGAACGTCAAAAAGGAGAAATTGCCAAGGTCAGTGGCAAACCTGTAATCTAGCTATCAGGAAAGTGGAGGCAGGATTGCTAGCTTGAGGCCTTGCAAGACATTGTCTGAAAATTAAATGATGAATAGAAAGAGCAGAGAGAAGTCAGCTGACAAGCTGTCTCAGAAGTTCTGGGGAAGAGTTTTTAAGTTTATATTAGTAGTTAAACATTTTCCCAACTTTTAAAATTCCATTGCCTCTGACATTTTGTTTTGATATATTTTTGAGATTTTTATCTTTATTGTGTGTGTACATATATTGTGCTTATGGATACCTGCAAAGGCCAGAAAAGGGCATCGGTTCCCTGGAGCTGGGTTAGGTGGTTGTGAGCCACCTGGTACACAGGTGTTGGGAACTGAAATGGGGGTCTCTGAAAGAGCTGCAAGTGCTTTTAACCTGAGCTGTCTCTTCAGCCCCTGTGATTTATTTTGAGGAAAATGTGCATTGTCATCATGTTGAAGGGATAAGGTGGTTTCCCTTTTCACTTCGATTTACTAATTTTTGTTTCTTAAAATTGATTTTGTAGTACTGAATTTCTTGTTTTGTTTTTTTTTGTTTTTTGAGACAGGGTCTCTCTGTGTAGCTCTGGCTGTCCTGGAACTCTGTAGACCAGGCTGGCCTTGAACTCAGAAATCCGACTGCCTCTGCCTCCCAAGTGCTGGGATTAAAGGCATGTGCCACCACCGACCGGCCTGTAGTTCTGAATTTTAATTTTTAAAAATTTGGATTATGTATTTGTTTAATAACTTTTTTGTTTGTTTTTGCTTCTTAAGACAGTGTCTCATTATATATATATATAACCTTGGCTGACCAGGAACTCACAATGTAGAGTAGTCTGGCCTTGATTCAGAGATCTGCTTGCCTCTGCCTCTAGAGTGCTGGGATTAAGGGCATGTCATACCATTCCTGGACTGACTGACTTACTTATTTATATATGTAAATATATGCAAATATATTTACATACTCATTTGTTTGTTTTGTTTAGACATGGTCTCTCTAAGTAGTCTTGACTGCCTTGGAGCTTACTTTGTAGATCAGGCTGGCCTTGACCTCACAGAGATACAGCTGCCTCAGCCTTTCTAGTGCTGGGATTAAAGGTGTGAACCACTACAACTGTTTGTTTTTAGTGTTTTGTAAAGTTAAGATTAAGTTACTGAGGTGTTAGCCCTGGGGGCTTGTCTGTGTGTGTAACTTTGTTTTACAGAATAGCTATGAGCATCTGTAGGTAACTTAAATTATGAGGTGCAAATGGTAGTGACACACTTAGTATTGTTGATGGTGGTAACACAAGTAGTACTATTAATGGGTGACTCAGTATTGATGAGCTAATGCCGTGGTCTTGTGACAGGTGTGGATTGCTTTAACAGTACACCAATTTACAGATGTGCCTCTATTTCAGACACCTATCTTTGTAGGTAAAATACTTTAGCAGTTTTACAATACAGGCATTTGTTCTCATTGCCAAAGTAGATTTTTGTTGTTCCTTAGACTAAATATATGATAGTTATATATTTAAACAATATAAACAGTTCAGCTTAAGTTGAATTGTTAAATTTTAGAAGACTAATATTTTCTGTAAGTTGAGACATTGAAAATAATTTTCAGAGTGCCTGGCAGCCTGCCTCCTGTAGAGATGGTTACTAGGAGAAGTAGGATTTCATTGTAAGAATGAACTCTGACCCCAGTTTTGCTTAGTTGCCCATAGGACTTGTACACTAGGATGCAGGCATACTGCCAAGTGCTTTCACTGTCAACAGAGTGATGTGAAGAATTAGTTGAAATAAGCTGATGAGAATGGGATACTACCTATAACTCAGATATTGCCTTATATTTTAAGATAGGAGATTGTTCTTGAAATGAAGTATTATTTAGCTTAGGGAAGCAGGCAGGGAGTGGCTACTGTTTCTCCTCTGTCACTCACTGCTCCTGTTACAATGTAACTTTTTTGTACAGTACTTCTCTTTCCTCTCTGTCATGCAGCTTTCTGTAGTTTGCATTGTATAATTTTATTGTTCCAGTTTAGGCATGCTGTTTTCCCCTACAATTTATTCCCAGAACAAACTTCGCCATGACTGGGCTGTGAAGTGTAGTTGGGATTCATCAGGAATTCTAGACTAGAATTCATTGTGAAATACAAAATATGGGTTCTGTCACTGGGGAACAGCCCATCAGTGATCATGCATAGGGTTCTGAAGGCATCGTACTCAGAGGGATAGTATTGAAGTCATGCAGCTGGTCGTTTCACCTTGTTCTTCATTTAATGACCTCTGAACCAGTGGAGATGGAATGCCGTGTTGACTTCTCAAAGAGACTAAGGCCTTCTGGAGTCTTGGACTTCAGATAAACATGCATGTAGTCCACCATCTTTGCTTACTGTTGGCTGTCAACATAGAAATATGAGGTTTGGGAATATTCATAGTTTCTGCATTCTTTGAGGGCATGTTGTAGGTCATGTCGTAGGTCATGTCAAACAACATAGACACATAGTATTTGTGTGACATAAGGCTTGCTGGTATACTTTCAACTTCTTCATGTTTCTTGGAGAAAAGAAATATATTCAAAGAAAATGTGGAACCAAAAAAAAAGAAAAAGAAAAGAAAAAAGCTGGGCTGTGGTGGTGCACGCCTTTAATCCCAGCACTTGGGAGGCAGAGGCAGGCCGATTTCTGAGTTCGAGGCCAGCCTGGTCTACAGAGTGAGTTCCAGGACAGCCAGGGCTGCACAGAGAAACCCTGTCTCAAAAAACCAAAAAAAAAAAAGAAAAAAAAATGTGGAAGCATCATTTGTCTTATATTACAATTGGGACCCAGGTTTTATATATGATTTTCTTTTTTTTTTTTTTTAATATTTATTTATTTATTTTATTGATGAGTACACTGTAGCTGTCTTCAGACACACCAGAAGAGGGCATCCAATCTCATTACGGATGGTTGTGAGCCACCATGTGGTTGCTGGGATTTGAACTCAGGACCTCTGTAAGAGCAGTCAGTGCTCTTAACCACTAAGCCATCTCTCCAGCCCTATATATGATTTTCTATCTTTAGGTTGCTTTTAAATTTTAATTTCAGATTGGTATGCTAACTGAGAAATTGTGCATGTGGATGATTGCATAGTCTTGCAGACTGAGTATTGCAGTGTTTGGAGAAGGAGTAACTCAGACTTCTTTTTCTTACCAGGTTAGCGATGCAACTAAGTTACGGCCAAAGGCAGAGTTTTGTTTTGGTAAGTAGCTATGTTTATATTATTTTATTTTCTAAATGATATCATTCCACCAACCTCCTCTTAGTTGTTTTTTTTTTAAAAAATGTTTATTTGTGTGTGTGTGTGTATGTGTGTGAGCGTGAGAGAGAGAGTATGTGTGAGAGAGTGTGCATGCACATAAGTGTCACGATGCTCATGTAGACATCAGAGAATAATTTAGGAGTCAGTTACCATAGTCCACCATGTGGGATCAAGGGATTGAACTCAGGCTCAGCGCCTTTGCTTGTTGAGCCATTTTGCCAGCCCTGCTTGTTGCCAGCCCTGCTTGTTATTTTGTTTGTTAGACTGATAAAATTTTTATCATATTATAAAGGAAAACAGCCACAAGACATAAACCTATGGCTTAATGTATTATTCTGTGAGAAGCTCCTTTACAGCCATCATCCCGGGTAAGGGTTAAAACTCCAGCTGCCAACCCCCAAGTCCCTTCTCTCTTCTCATCTTAGTTCTAACCTGCTCTGCACTTCTGTGTAGCTCTTATGATCTCACCTAGCAGTATTTCAGGTAGTTTTTAGCTCTGTACCTTGTATTCTCTGTTGACCACATAAATAAAAGACTCGGTCTTTTGTGAGGGAAGGATATTTACAGCTGGAGGCAGGAAGCATTGAGGGTGGTAGATTGATGAACAGGTGCTTGCTGAGTGCCCAGGACACTTTGGCCTGTGGGAATGTGTAGTGTTGGTGCTGGCTGACAGATACAGTACCTGCTGTTACCCTTCCATCAGCATCATTCCAGCAGTCAGTAGATGGAGGGAACATAGAGGGGAATGCGTCCTTGGATGAGGACATCCATGCTGGGCACCCAGTAAACTGCAGACCACTTTTTACCACTTTTTAAGTGACGAGACATAAGACCTCATGGGTGAAGGTGTGCAAGAGAGGAGAACATGCTGTATGAACTGGAAGCAGAAGTCAGTGTGGTATGTTGACCAGTGCGTGTTGTTATTTTGAGAAAGGGAAGAAAGTAGAGAGCTCCTGAAGTGAACGAGGATCCTGGCTTCGTGCACGGGAGTTAAGCAGATAGATGAGTCGTGTGGCTTCTGAACTACTGCACTTGAGGTCTCAGTCTGGGACGGAGCTGATGATAGTGAGAGAAACTAGAAGACCATTAGAAGAGAAAGTGCAGAGACTTGGAGATTTGGCAGCCACCCAGGCAGAGTCCATGCCCTGGCTATTATGAACAGTATTGACAGGGGTTGCAGGTATCTCTTTTGTATGCTGATTTTATTTTCTTTAAGCTTATGCCCAGAAGTGGTGTTTTGCTGTTGTTTTTTATATGTGTGGAAAGTAGAGGTAAAAATAGAGGGGGTTAGGGAAGAAGAGAAACAGTGTGGAACAGGATCCTGGGGTGTCATGCTTAATCTTGATTGTCAAGTTGGTGGAAGTTAGAACCACCATGAACACAACTCTGACCCAGAGGTGGGAAGGTCATCCTAATGTGGGCAGTACTATAGTACTATTACATGGTCTTGAGGAGGACGTGAGCAGAACACACCCGTTCATCATTCTCTGCTTCCTGACTGGATGCAGTGTGACCCACCACCTTCTCTTCCCATTACCATGCCTTCCCTGCCTTGATGGGCTGTATCACCTGGGACTGAAAGCCAGAATAAATTGTTCCTTCCTTAAATTGCTTTGTCAGATATTTTGTTGTTGGAGTGAGGCAGGTAACTAAAGCATGGAGCAAGAGAAAGGTCCAGGAAACGTGAGCATACTCCTGGTACAGTCAGACCCTCTTGGCTTTTACAATTAATGTGCATTAATAAATGGAGAAGTTTAGAGTGTGTTAAGAGAACCAGTGGTAGGTCAAGATTGCCACCCTCTCTACGTTGTAGTGGTGGAAGGGACAGAAGATAAGATTGACCAATTGGTATAAAAAGGGACTATTGAAGTTTAAAGAAAAAGGTATTTTGGGAGCAGAATTAATGCTGATTTTTAAGTTCTTTGCTCTCTTCAGTGTGTAAGAGTGACTTTGTCCTGCAGGTTGATGTTTAGAGCAGTATCTGATGGCAGCCACATGTGTCCAGTAAGGGAAGCTATTATGAACAGACTGAAGTTAGCAACTCAAGAGGCCTACTAAGAAGCTCTTGTAAAAGTTAGACATTCGCCAGGCGGTGGTGGCACACGCCTTTAGTCCCAGCACTTGGGAGGCAGAGGCAGGTGGATTTCTGAGTTCAAGGCCAGCCTGGTCTACAGAGTGAGTTCCAGGACAGCCAGGACTATACAGAGAAACCCTGTCTCGAAAAAACAAAAACAAAAAAACCAAAAAAACAAAAAACAAAAGTTAGACAGACATTCGCTGCAGATTAGGATTACAGTTACTAAATAAGAGAATGTTTCAGAGCCTTGTAATTGAAAGGTGTCAGGGCTCATCAACTAACAGAGAACTATGATAGTGATAGTTTGAGTATAAACTGAACATCCATAGTCCTTGGGCCTAGTTAGAATAGTGATTTTAGTTGAAATCAAAGATTAAGATGAACTTTTTGTTAGTCCTTCTCATGGTTTGATAGTCATTCTTTCTTTCTTTTTTTTTTAAATCTTATATTCAAGATTTATTTATTCACCATTGCTCTCTTCAGACACACCAGAAGCGGGCATCAGATCCTGTTACAGATGGTTGTGAGCCACCATGTAGTTGCTGGGAATTGAACTCAGGACCTCTGGAAGAGCAGTCAGTACTCTTAACCACTGAGCCATCTCTCCAGCCCTTGATAGTCATTCTAAGTGGCATCATCTCTCTAATTGCCCAGAAACAGTGAGAACGAGAAATACTCAAACCTTGCCTTTGATAACGGGAAGAGACTTGAGCAGGTGATCCCCAGTATATAAATATGGAAGTGAGTGGAGGAGTGGTAGCTAAGTTTGCAGAGCAGAGAATGACCAATGAAGAGCTAATCATTCAGTGTCTGCCCCACCTTTCTCTAATAGGCTAGGTAATGGGGCTTGTTTGGGGGAATGGGGAAAGCTACAGTGAAGGGGGACTAAGAACAGGTTCTCTGTTTGGATGTCTTTAGAACAACTGTAACAGCCTCAGCAACAACAAACAGCCTCTAGTCTCTGTCTCCATCTGGCTCCCGTGGGCAGCCACCCTTCCCCCAGCCCAGCAGGGAATGGGATGCGTGGTGTCTCCAGAAATAGAAACTAACACTAATCCCAGAGAAGGGAAGGAATGAGGCATGAAACTGGAAAGGAGGATTAAAGGAGAATCTGAATACTGAATGCAGCCCTGTCCTGCCTGCAGCCCCAGGGAACCTGCAGCCAGCTGCTGCCAGTGATAGGTGGGTAGAGCCTGCCTATCCTCAAGAACTGAGGAATGATGCTGACATCTGGATATTTCCACTAGGGGAGCTTGCTGACAGTGAGTGAGCTGTGTAAGGTCACAACCCCACAACCCAAAAGGGTACAACCAGCCTTTTAGTCTCTCCTTTAAGATAGTAACAGACAGGCCAGATTACTTAGTATTTGAGGAGAGTTATCAGACAGAAAAAGAAACAAGTAATGTAAAACTCAGGAGAACAAAATTTTTTTAAAAAGGGGGAAAAAAGTGAAATCAGCAGAATGTAAAAGTGGTAATAGAGAAAGCTGTGCGGCAATCTCACTTATAAACCTCCAATCCCAGCATTCAAGAGGATAGCAGGTCCCAGACCAGTCACTACATACTGACACTTTCTCAAAAATTAATTAATTAATTAATTAATTGAGGAAGAGAAGCCAGGCAAGTGAGAAAGGGCCTGATGTGGCCACACTTGAGCCACAGCCATTTATGGATCAGGAGAGAATTTTTGCTGCAGTTACACTAATGTCTGTGCTGTAGTTTTATACATTTATTTTATTTGCTCTGTTTGAGCAAAAGTAAAGAAATAATAGTAAAAAAGATTTGAATAAGAATGTACTCAGATGGGCTGGAGAGATGGCTCAGTGGTTAACAGCACTGACTGCTCTTCCAGAGGTCCTGAGTTTGAATCCTAGCAACCACATGGTGGCTCACAGCCATCTGTAATGGAATCCAACGCCCTCTTCTGGTGTGTCTGAAGACAGCTACAGTGTACTCACATATATAAAATAAATATATATCTTAAAAAAAAAGATTTACTTTATTAAAAAAAAAAAAAGAATGTACTCAGATGAAAAACCAGACCAGCCTCTCATACTCAGATTCGTCTGAAACTCTTTCCTAAAAAGCTTGGCAACTTAGAGGGGTCCTGGCCTTGTGTTTGTAGTCAAGGCTTTCTCTTCCTTCCCAGTCTGCCACGCTTCCTACATCTCATACACACCTCCTTCCAGTAATTCACGCTCTTTGGAAATCTGAAGATGGTGATAGAAGAGGAATACTGTGTCCATTTCTTTACATTGTCGCTGTCTCTCTGGGAAAGGAGATCGATTCATAGATGAGGAGATCAGGACTCAGCCTAGATTGTTCTGGAGGCCTCAGATATGATACTATACTCATACAGATATGAGCTGTCAGCCGCCGTGATTCCTGGCGTCTTAGTTTGTAGCAGATGTCTGTGTCTCTTGTCATGAAATAAAAGCATGTGAGATTTTACTCAAGCCACAAGTTATGTCAAGAGTTGCAGGTTTTTTGTTTGTTTTATTTTTTAGTATTGGGGGCTAGAGATGCAGTCCAGAGCCTGTGTATGGTTAGCAAACTTTGAGCCATTATGTCAAACTGCAAGGAGTTTTAAAATTTAGTTATGTTGGCCTCTTGTTTTTCCTTAAAAAGGCCCTTATATAAATATTTCTCATTAGAAGTATGTGTATTATACATTTGCTTTGTGCCAGCTGTTGCAGTACACTATTAGATTTTTTTTTTTAATTTTTATTTTTAAACTTACTATTTTATTTTGTGTATATGAGTGCTTTCGTTGTAGGTTTGTCTGGGCACCAGGTGTGTGCCTGGTGGTGCCTGTGAGATTTCCTTAGGACCAGAGTTACAGACAGTTTTAAACGGCTTCAAACAATATTTTGGAGAAGTTTTGAAAGCATACTGAACTGACTGCTGAAGTTAACAACAGCAGCTGTTTGTTGATAGACACAGTGTCTTTGGGAGTTCCTAGTTGTGCTGAAATACACACACACACACACACACACACACACACGCGCGCGCGCACACACACACACACACACGTTTTAATTTTCTATTCATATACAAGTACAATTGATGACAGTTTTTTTGCTTTTCAGATAAATTTTTCTGTGACACTTCATAGAGTGTACTTTGATTTCTTCTCTGTGACCCTAAGCTTAGTATCTGAGTGCTAGTATATTAATTATTCAGTATTATGGTGGAGACTCTTCAAAGTTGTTTGTTTACATTTTGTTTTGAGACAGGGTCTCTCACTCTGTAGTCCTGGCTGTCCTAGAATTCACTGTGTTGACCAGGCTGGCCTTGGACTCACAGATATTGGCCTGCCTCTGCCTCCTAGAGTGCTGGGATTAAAAGTGTGTGCTATCACATCTGGCCTTGGAAGTTGGTATTTGAACAATATTGTGGCTATTCAGATGCCTTGGCTCCTAGAGTAGTATTTGATTTTCTACACAAATGCTATGATACAAATAAGTGTGATTGAAGAGCCCCTTATGGCTTGTAGACACCTATTTGCAGATGTGTTTTATGAAGTGAATAGTCTCAGGCCCCAAGGGGCCATTTGTAAATTTCATAGATTTATTTATTTATTTTTTATATATATGAGTACATTGTAGCTGTCTTCAGACACACCAGAAGAGGGCATCAGATCTCATTACAGATGGTTGTGAGCCACCATGTGGTTGCTGGGAATTGAACTCAGGACCTTTGGAAGAGCAGTCAGTGCTCTTAACCGCTGAGCCATCTCTCCAGCCCTGTACATTTCATAGAAAGTGTGCCTTTAATCCTAGAATTTGGAGGGCAGAGCCTGGTGGATCTCTATGAATTTGAGACCAGCCTGGTGTGCATATTGAGGATATAGGCCAGCCAAGGATACATAATGAGACTGTATCTCAAAGAAAAAAGGTTTGTTTTATATTTTTTTGTTGTTGATTTGTTTGTTTGTTTGGTGTGTGTATAAAAGCTTTTATTTCTTTTTTTTTTTTTTTTTTTGGTTTTTTGAGACAGGGTTTCTCTGTGTAGCCCTGGCTGTCCTGGAACTCACTCTGTAGACCAGGCTGGCCTTGAACTCAGAAATCCGCCTGTCTCTGCCTCCCAGTGCTGGGATTAAAGGCGTGTGCCACTACCGCCTTGCAAAAGCTCCTTTTAAAATTAAGTACAGATACTGTTTTTGGGCTAAAAATATTATAGAGGCTAAAACATAAAGATGTTTATAGGCCTAATTTATGGAGGTTTTGAAGTATATGAAATCTACAAGATTAAAGGGAAAACTGATAGGATATTTGTTTTATCAAAGACACCATATCAAAGTGAGAATTCATGACAGACTAGGGAAAGTGCTTGTGATAAAACTATTAAGTTCATAGAAAAGATCCTGCAGATCAGTAAATTATAACTGAGCAGCTCAAGAGAAGTGAGCAAAAGAATATACAAAACTCATGGAGCAGATGCAGGTGCCTGATACACACACAAAACTTAAATTCAAATGAGGTCTGGTTATCTAATTGGCAACTAATTAGGTCACTAATAGAATGCTGTATCAGTTAGGGTCCGTTGAATAGAACACCATTTGAGGCATTTCTCAAGGTAATTATTACAGGTGGTTAGATGTTGCAGTGACTCAAACATTGGAGACAGCATGAAACGCTCCACTCTGGGGCGAGGAGATAGGAGGAAAGAGGTAAGACATAGCCTTAGGTCTGGAGGAGCTGCTACCAGGAAGCTGTGAAATAAAAGGTTTAGACTCAGCCCCCAAGCTTCAAGACTTTAAGCAAGGATATATATTTAGCACAGATGCTAATAACAATACAGATGAGAGATATTAGAAACCTTGTGTACACAATTGGGAAGATGCTTCTGTGTAGGGGTTCAGGGTTTTTTGTTGTTTTTTTTTTTTTTTTTTTTGAGACAGGGTTTCTCTGTATATCAGCCCTGGCTGTCCTGGAACTTGCTTTGTAGACCAGGTTGTCCTCGAAGTCACAGAGATCCACCTGACTCTGCCTCCTGAGTGCTGGGATTAAAAGCATGAGCCATCATAAAAAGAAAAATTTAAAGTTATATTTTAATAATTTTAAAAATTAAAAATTATTTTACTAATATGAGCATTTTCCTGGCATATATGTCTGTGTACCATTTGTATGCAGTGATTGGAGACTAGAAGAGGATAGTAGATCCCCTGGAACAGGAGGTTCAGACAGTTGTGAGCTGTCAGGTGGGTGCTGGTAATTAAAGCTAGGCCCTCTGGAAGTATAACCAGTGCTCTTAACTGCTGAGCCATCTTTCTAGTCCCTCCAAAACAACATTTTTAAATGTTAATTCTCTGTGACTCAGTAACTCTGTATGAAGAAAATTATTCCACAGAAATACTGGCCGGAGTATGGAGGAATATTCCCAAGTGATGTTTTATTGTGATGGCCTGTGTTAACTGCAGTATGCATCATTGGAGGACTGACTCACTATTTAGCAGTATACTCATTTAATGAAGACTGGCCATAGAGTTTTGCCTGTGTAACTCAACGATGAAAACAGTGTTTTAGATTTTGTAAAATTTAAGAGTTGCAGTAAAACCTTTACAGATGTTCTAAACAGAATTTGCAGGTAACAAGTCTAATATTTCATACACTTTTTTTTGACAGTTATGAATGCAGGAATGAGAAAATACTTTCTACAAGCTAATGATCAGCAGGACTTAGTGGAGTGGGTAAATGTCTTGAACAAAGCTATAAAAATTACAGTAAGTATTTTTTTGGAAACTTTTCCCTTTACAGAAGTAATGTTTACATTATGAAAATGTGTTTAATGTCCTCAGCTTACCAGGTTTCATATTCAAGCTTGGTGTAAAAGGTGAGTTCTGATTGTGAGCCATTTTCTAGTGTGTGGGGACTTTAGGCTTTTGAATGGTTTTCACTTGTGTCCCTAGGGAGGATCCACATTTCTGTGCATGCTGATTGTGTTTTTGTTTTGCATCTAGAGTAGGATAAGAGGTTTTGACCACCTACTGCGAGGATGGTATAAGCATTCTCCTTTCCTAAGCCATGAAAGGCAAAGGAGAAGGTGGGTGTGGACTGGGGAAGGTACAAGTCTCTAGAGTGAGTCTAAAGAGCTGTGGTAAGCAGAGGGGCCTTCCTGTGTGTTCTAGTGATGTGTGAGGCTCTAAACTCCTTCTCTTCCCTGCCCTCTCCCCTGGAGTTGCAGGGCCTGCTATTTTTCCCTCCTGCTGGTGCTACAGTGACTGCTGTTAAACTCTTTTCTTTTGGTTGGTTTAAAAAATGAACACCAATACTTACTGATTACTTACACTGTGCCAGCAGGCAGGCTTCAGATGGAAGTTCCCCTTAGCTTTCCAAAGATGAGCTGTGAGTCTAGAACTTAGGCAAGCTTAGTGGTCCCTAGATCCTGAATCTGCTGTGCAGTAAGCAAAGAACCCCTCCTTAATGTCAGCCAAGCTTTTCTGAGCAAGTTGCTGCTGCTGCACACATGGACTGCTTCCCTGCATCTTCCCTCCTTACAGAGTAGACTGCCTGGGAGGGAGTGGGAAGGAGCTCCTCCTGTGTGGGCTTGTATAAGTAAAGTTTGTTCTCACTGAGTACAGTCATTTACTGGTCCTTATCTACTCATGGCCAAAGAGCATGTGCCCTGAAAATCAATGCATGATGTCCTCATCTAAAGTGAATGATTCCATGTTTATGCCACACTGCAGCAGAGTTAAGATAGCCAACCAAGGCTGTTCTTAGTTAGATCAAATTTTTTTGTATTGCACCAGAACAGCTTGTTACCACATGACAGAAAACGCCCACACACCACATCTGATCTGTATGTGAAGCAGAAGTTATTTTGGGCTTGTGCAGTTTCAGGAAAGCAATATTTTGAACAGATTCAAAAGTTTATGTTCTTACAAGGTTTTAGTTGATCACTTTGAGCTCCTAATAAATATTCCCTACCAGGAAGATATCTTTATGAAGATTGTATGTAGTGCTTTTTTTTAATTCATTTTTCACAGTTTACAGTAATAAGCAGAACTGGCTTCTTTTAGTGATTTGGAGAAAAGTAGAATGAATAGACTCAGCACTTTCTCAAGTTGGGATGCCTTGAACTGTTGCTTCATTTATTTGTGGAACTGAGTTTTTCACGTGCCACTGCATATTTTTCAGATGAAGGAGAAACTAGCAATTTTTAAGGTATAGGCCTTTAATTGGCTCTTGTGATCTTACAGCTTTATTTTATGTGACATTTTTACTGTTTCCATATGAATCTTGATAAAGATTTTCATGATTATATAGTTCATATTTAGAAAAGTGGGATACAGAAATCATCGGTGAAGTAAGGGATGTGAATATAGAACTGGTAATTGACTGGAGCCAATTCCAGGCAAACAGGAAAGTGAGAGAATCCCAGGCTTTAATAAGTTTTGTTTTGTTGGTGCTGGAGAGATGGCTCAGTGGGTAAGAGCACTGACTGCTTTTACAGAGGACCTGGGTTTGGTGACCTACACCCACGTGACTCCAGTTCCAGGGGATACATACAATACCATCTTTGGCCTGCAGTCACAAGACATGCCAGTGGTATAGACATATAGTCAAAACACCCATACATATAAAACTAAATTTAAAAAAAAGTTCAAAATAGATATTTTGTTAAATTCTTTAGAATAGAAATTCTGCCAGTTTAGACCTTATAGGCATTTTGCACATTTAAGTATATTGAAGTATGATATGTCTAATTTCATATTTAAATGGACAATAATTTACATGTAGGATCTTTGAAAAATTAACCTTCCCCATTTTAATACACATGTAGTTTACCTTCCTCTTGAACCATTCCAAATGACATTTTGTTCAACTAATTTAGTGATCTGCCAAGTACTATGTAATCTATATGCTTAAAATTTACAGTTTGTTTTTCAGAGTGTGGTTTCAGCTCAGGGATTGTCAGCGCATTGTGGCTAAGAGCATGATGATTAGTTGAGTGTTCAGTGGTAGTAGTATACTACCATAGTGCACTGCCCTTCACAGTTATCGTCTGTCTGTCCAACATTGTAAATTCTTTCCTAAATATTTAAAGAAGAAAGAAGAAAAGATTTATAAAAGGTCAATGTTAAAAGAAATAATCTTGAAGGATATTTTTACTGACTTGTTTTAAAAGTCAAAATTGGAAGCAGGCTTTCAAATATGTGTTAGTCTCCTGTCAATGTGGGAGCTCCTGGTCCCATGCTGGCTGAGAGAGGAAGATGCCCATAGTGTCTCCTAAGCAGAAGTCCACTACTTCTAAAGTGTCTTTGTCCATCGTAAGTTCTAACTTACAAACTAGGCTTTTAAAGTTGTAGCAGGAATTTCACAGTTACTATTATTATTATTATTATTATTATTTTTGAATGACACTAGAACAAGTAAGCTGAATATTGGTTTAAAGAACGAGTGTTAACCAGGCCTTTGCCAGCCAGACAGGTGAGATGGAGAGACTGCAGGTCCTGCCACCCAGGAACACATCAAATACTTTAGGTCGGTTCTGTCCTCTAGCTCTGCCCTCATTCCTACTGAGTGGAATTTCACTCCCCTGTAACTTTTGAGAGGTCTGTAACCTTTTATTTATGTTAGTCATAAATGCTGGTGTCTGTTTTACTCAGTTTTCCTCCTCATTATTTTCTTTTCTGATATTGGAACAGTCTGTTGGGGTCACAGTAAATGCCTGCTAAGAACACATTCAGATCCCTTCTGAGAAATAGTCCCATGAAAAGCAGGGGAAGAAGCAAATAGAACAGAAGCATATTTGGTGCCCAACGTTTGTCCTCTGCCCTTTGATTTGGCTCTCTGACGCTCAGCAACATTTGGCTGATTTGCAGGTGGGGTGGGGGTTCTTTTTCTTAGTGTTTGGATTTGACTCACTTTCATTCAGAGTTGTTTTTGTAAATTCTAAGGGAGTTATTTTATTTCTGAATTCTTTGAGAACAAGGTAATTTCAACTTAAATAATTTTTATTGTAAACCGTAGCTCAAGTATTGGGAATTGTGCCCTGTTTAGACTTCATTTGAGGGCTGTCAGCAGTGGACCAATTACACAGGAAAGGATTTTTAGCATGACCTGTTTTGTTTGTATAAAGAACTTTTCAGAAATCCTTAGGAATAGCAGAACCCTCACCTGGAGGATAACTGCTGCTCCTCTTGAAGTTCACCAAAGAGCACCAGTCTTAGGTCATCTGCTAGACAGATTGTCTTTGTGGCTCAGATTCTCTTACCATTGCCTTTGCTGATTTCAATGAGTTACAGAACCACACTTTACAAAATGACTGAAATAAATTGTGTGCAAGTTGTTCTAGTGTGTGGTATCTTAATTCTAGCCAACACTTTGTCTACTATTGTAATCACCTTTAGAAGGCACATTGAATATGGCCTTTGAGGATTCCACAGGCATCGAGATTGACCTTCTTTCTCCCCCTCCCCCTTCCTCCTCCCCCCTTCCCCTCCTTCCCCTCCTTCCCCTCCTTCCCCTCCTTCCCCTCCTTCCCCTCCTTCCCCTCCTTCTCCTTCTCCTCCTCTTCCTCTTCTTCTTCCTCCTCCTCCTCTTCCTCCTCTTCTTCCTCCTCCTCCTCCTCTTCCTCTTCCTCCTCCTCTTCCTCCTCCTCCTCCTCCTCTTCCTCTTCTTCTTCTTCTTTGGTTCCTTTCTTTCTCCTTTGTGTCTCCTTCTCTCCTTCCACCAGTGACTAACACTGTATTGGAAATATGCATTTGATGTTAAAGAAAGCTGCTAGGGCCTGAGGAAAGTCTGACAGGGGAAGCAGTGGGGGAAAACAACATTACCTCAGATATAAGCCATTCTTACCCAGGAACAGCTAGGTTCATAGTGTGTGTGGATTGAGATTTTCTTACACACAGCCTGTGCTTATTCAGTCCTTTGAAGAAAGCTTCTTTGCAAATAAAAGTGTCTGCATTGTACACCAGCTCCTTTCCAAATCCGGTGAGCATAGTGTCATGTACAATGATAACACAGTGTGGACAGAGTTTGTGAAATATAGCCCCTCAAAAGTACCTGTTCCTACTTAAACTGCAGTTTGAGGGAGATGTTTTAGAGACTGGTTCTGGGGATGGAGCCTGGCAATCTACGGTTTTTAGTGGTGTTCCTGGGTAATGTCTTAATGTGCATACCTACCTTGGATGGATACACATTAGTACGTGTAGGGCCCGTGACTGCCGTATTAATAGTTTCTCTGTAGTTCACAGGTGATGGGCAAATGATTTAATTTTAACTTAAAGATTTTTATACCATTACCTTTGTAGTTGTTGTTCATATTGTTGATAATATTTCTGAAAGACTAAGGACACCTAAATAAAATGCCCTTTAAATCATATTCAGTATGTAATTGATGCTGAGAGTGTTTTATTTCATTTTATTGTTTAAATTTGTCTAGAATGTGGTACAGCAGGGATCTCAACCTATGTTCCCGGTGCCTCTAAGCACCTGTTCCTTAAGCTGCTGAGAATTGGCCAGGGAGGAAGAAGGAAGTGTATGAGTAGAGACTGCACGGGCCCAGCAGTGGTGATACTGTGTCCTAAAGTGTTGTCAGACCAGGACAGTCTGCTTAGACTCTGGTTAAAATACTGTAGATAGGTTAGTATATGCCAGTTATCTAAAACTAGGTGAAACACCTGTGAAGATGGGGAGAGTTTAAAATATACTTCTTAGCCTGACGGTTTTTATTTGAAAAAAAAAAAAAAAAAAAAAGGTGGTGGTGCACGCCTTTAATCCCAGCACTTGGGAGGCAGAGGCATGCAGATTTCTGAGTTCGAGGCCAGCCTGGTCTACAGAGTGAGTTCCAGGACAGCCCGGGCTACGCAGAGAAACCCTGTCTCGAAACCACCACCCCCCCCAAAAAAAAAAGAAAGAAAATATACTTCTTGTTGGACAGTTATCTATCTCACTATTTCAGGTACCAAAGCAGTCAGACTCACAACCGGCCTCTGAAAACCTGAGTCGCCAAGGTGACTGTGGCAAGAAGCAAGTGTCTTACAGAACTGATATTGTTGGTGGTGTACCCATCATCACGCCAACACAGGTAACAAGTCAATTCTTCTGTTATATGGAAGTCTTAGGACTGCATATTGATGCTTTTATTTCCATGAAAGCTGAAACAGAATGTCTTTGCTGAATTAATTCAATATTTATATTCTACAAAACCTTTTAATTTGGTTTCCTATTAGAGAGTGTTTTACAAACTTGTGTGTTAATTATAAAAATGATGGGAAGTCACACAGATAAACACTTGGTCCTTTGAGTTGAAGTCTTTGTATTTTCCCTGCAGAAGTGGATTTGGGAGTTACATGTCGGACTTTGTAGCAGCATATCTCACTTTAGTCTTCAGAAGTTACTCTATCTCACTTGTAATGGCTGCAGAGTTCTGCCATGATTTAGAAACCTCTCTTAGTAAACAATGGAGAGTTTTTCTTTTCTTTTATTTAACAGTGTTGTCATGAACATTCTTATATGTTAAACTTTGGAGATTAACTCTAGGGGCCTATACATACTAGGCAAGAACCCTAACAATGAACTATCTTAGTTTTTAAAAATTTTTCTTTATGACAGGATCTAAAAAAGTTGTACAAGCTGTCCTTGAATCTACTTCGTAACCCAGATGAGCCTTGAATCTTAGCTCCTCCTGCCTCAGCTTCCTGGACAGCTGAGGTTACAGGTCTACACCAAGATAAATTAATTCTTATAAGTAAAGTTGCTAGATTAGAGTCTGTAAATATGTGGCTAATTGTGTATGTGTTTATGTGTTTGTGTGTGTGTTGTTTTTTTTCCCTGCAACCTGAGGACTGTAACTCTGGCTACATTGTATCCTAAAAGTACTGATATGCCTGGGTATTAGGAAAAATAAATTTATGTACTTTTAAAAACGAACTTGAAACTTTTATATGGACTTAAGTTTCATGTATTACTATTAAGAAAATGTACTTTTTTTTTAAGATTTATTTATTTTATTTATATGAGTACATTGTAGCTGTCTTCAGACACACCAGAAGAAGGCATCAGATCCTATTATAGGTGGTTGTGAGCCACCATGTGGTTGCTGGGAATTGAACTCAGGACTCTGGAAGAGCAGTCAGTGCTCTTAACTACTGAGCCATCTCCCCAGCCTGAAAAAATGCACTTTTAATACAAATTCAAGTATTATTAGTTGTGAAATCAAGAATTTGAAGTGATATCTGTTGCCAGTGTTGGATATGCTTGTTCACTACTTCTGTGTCTTTTGATCTTAACAGACTCTGATGCTCTATATTATAGCATATACGATCTCGTTTCAAGCCATTTGCTATAGAAGTGTGATTACTGGGAAGAAGTCTCATAGCATCAATAAATTACATTGAAAATATTTTTCTATGTTTGACAAAGGGTATTTAATAATCTGTATTCTGGGTGTAGTGTACAGGGTTTTGTTTTTTTTTTTTTTGTTTTGTCTTTGTTTTTTATTTTTATTTTATTATTATTTTTACCAAAGTTAGATTTTTTAAAATTAAGGAAGAGGAGAGGATATGGGGAGGTTGCTTTTTCTAAAAGGAATGATTTTAGTCTCCTAAATTTGTGATTGGTAAGTAGCTTGGGTGAGCTTTTTTCCATACCATGGCTTACGTTGGCTGTTGGTATGTAGATGAGTTAAGATACTGGTACAATATGCCTGTGGCTGCTGTAGATTCTACAGAAGATGTCATTTAAAAACATTTCAAAGAATACTACTGTTTTATTGTAATACAGAATTTAAAATTACAAAGTAGCATTTCGGCAATATACATTCAAGAAAATGTTAAATAAATTTCATTGGAATGGTTAATTTATTAAAATCTAAATGTAACTAAACATTAACTGTTGAATTAGTGTTGATCTATTTAAGTGTATTACAGGTTGAAAATTCCTCGCGACATAACTGATAATTGAGACTTAATTGTTCTTTGAAGTTGTTAAAAATTTAACTGATTTACTTGTAGAATTGTAGCATGTAGATGCTGTAAATAACCAGAAGGTCTTGGGCATGGTTATGGCTAGTCACTTAGCTTTAAATACTACAAAGATTAGGCAAAGAACTTTAGACTTGACATCAGATACATTGCCCATAAAAGGACTGATACTTGCACATCTTCAGTATTTCAAATGCTTGTTTTGTAAAAGACCCTGTTCAGAGGATGAAGAGAAGAGATAAATAGAAGGAAAGTTTGTAAGCTACTTATCCAACAAAGGACTGTTATCTACAGAAAGAATTCTCAAAATCCAATAGCTAACAAAGCAGAAAGTCCTTTTAAAGTAGACAAAAATCATAAAGACATTTCACCAAAATATGAAGTGTATAATAATGGGAAAGATAGTCATCATCTATAGCCAGTAGAGAAAAATTTGAATTAAGGACCCAATGAAATATACCCAATCAGCTGGGCGGTGGTGGTGCACGCCTTTAATCCCAGCACTTGGGAGGCAGAGGCAGGCGGATTTCTGAGTTAGAGGCTAGCCTGGTCTACAGAGTGAGTTCCAGGACAGCCAGGGCTACACAGAGAAATCCTGTCTCAAAAACAAACAAACAAACAAACAAACAAACAAACAAACAGAAATATATCCAATCAGAGGTGCTTATACCTCTCACCCATTGATTATGGAGATGTATATAAAACAGTTCAGCGACTCTAAAAAACAAATTGGTGTGATAGTTTCCTTCTTGTCAATTTTGAGTAAATTTACAATCACTCTCCAGCCTAGTATATACTCTCCTAGGCATTTATCTTAAAGATGTGCATAATTATGTTCACACAAAAACCTTACATGGATACTTACAATGGCTTCATTCCTGGTAGCCAGAAGCTAGAAATAACACACACTGTTAATTGGGTAAGTGGCCAGCAGCTTGGTATGGCAGTACACCTACACCACTAAATACAGCAACCCAGACAGACAATGGATTGTTGATACTAAGAGCCACCTGAATGAGCCTTCAGAAAGTTATGCTGAGTGAAATTTCTAAAAAAATCTCAAAAGACACCTACTGTGTGCTTCCATTTGTATTCACAAACTGTCAGGACCATTGGATGGTATGGGGACCACTGCAAGGGCACACAAGCAGACTGCAGTCACGAGCAGCTCTTCAGGTTGATTATGGCGACTGTTGAGTGTTGGGCATCAGTTGGTGTGTGGAAATGCCACATGTGCATGTGCACAAACGAGTGCATATGTAACTGTTGAAATCTGAGTAAAGCTTACTGATGCTTGGTTTGAGTGAGTGCTGTGTCCTAAAAAGATGCACTTTCTCTTTGAAAAGAATTTGGTTGAAGGGTAGGGCCTCTGGTACTTTTTATATTTATTGTAAATTCCTATGGATCTGTTTAAATCATTTCAATATAAAATGTTAGACCCACGCCAGGCAAGGTGGCACATGCCTTTAATCCCAGCACTTGGGAAGCAGAGGCAGGTAGATCTCTGTGAGTTTAAGACTGTCCTGGTCTACAGAGAGTTCCAGGATAGCCAGGGCTATACAGAAAAACCCTGTATGAAACAAACAAACAAAAAACAAACAAAGTAAGTTAGCCTCACCCCAAGAAGAAGCACCAGAGACAGAATTTTTGCAGAACTATAGAAATGGGTGTTTGTGGTTTATCAATAACAAGAAAGTTGTGACTAAGTGTCACAGACTTAAAATTTTTCTGGGGTAATATTAAATGTAAGTATTTAAACTTACAGCAAGAAAAATCATTTTTTTGCTTCATTTTAGAAAGAAGAAATAAACGAATGTGGTGAGAGTGTTGACAGGAACAGTTTGAAACGGTCACAAAGCCATCTTCCTTACTTTGCTCCTAAGCCGCCTCCAGACAGTGCCGTTATCAAAGCTGGGTACTGTGTGAAGCAAGGAGCAGTGGTGAGTAGCCTGCCCACACCTTCGAGGTAGGGAAGATACCTGTGCCAGCAAGCTTGCAACTCATAACTCAAGTTGTGTGCTTTATATTCTGAAAGAGCTAGAGTAGAGAGCAGGCTGCTGCTGGGAAGGGTAGAGAGGGGTTGTTCTATCATGACCAACCAGCCGTTATGTTTGGGCTGTTGGGCAAGTTATGCCTATATCCACCAGCACTTAGTCTAAGTGAACTTTACTAAGTTTAGGTTTAAGAAGGTTTTTCTTGTTGTTGTTTAATTGAAAACTTTGTGTGTGTGCATATGGGTAAGGGAGGGGAACAGGAGCATGATGTATGTGCTCTGAGATCAGAAAACAACTTCATCAGGTCTCCACTTCCACCTTCACCTGGATTCCAAGGTTCATATTCAGGCAAACGCCTTTACCTGCTGAGTCACCTTTGCCATCAGATCGTCCTTCTGTTGATTTCCCATGCCCTCAGGAGTGGTCAGGAGGAGAGCCCTAGGAAAAATGGAGGAGTAGATGCTAGTTTAAGGTTGGGGTACCTAATTTCTCAGTCTTCCCAGTTTTATTTTATGAGAAAGCTGTTTTATAAAATGTATGTAGCTTTTGAAAGACGTAAATGAGAGGTTCAGCTTCAGGTATAAGGGCCATTACCAGTAAGTTCAGGTTGTCCCCATAGTCAGTGTCATGGAAGAGATTTCTACAGGACAAACACATTTACCAGATTTCCTCTTTTCTTTTTTTCTTTGTTTTGTTTTTTTCTTATTTGTTTTTGTTTGTTTGTTTGTTTTTGTTGTTTTTGTTTTTTGAGACAGGTTCTCTCTCTGTAGCCCTGGCTGTCCTGGAACTCAGTAGACTAGCCTTGAACTCCAAATGCTGATTTTCCAGTATTTCTAAGGTTCCAGATACTTGTCTGCCAGGTGCTGTAGTTCACACCTATAATCCTAGCATTTGGGAGGCTGAGGAGTGACGATACAAAGTTCTAGGTTGGCCAAGGCTATTATATAGCAAAATCTGTGTTTATTTAATCAGCTTTTCTAAAGTTTATTCTGCATGGACTAAATCTTGAAAATCTCAAGAGAAGGTAAAGTTTAGCATTTGAAAGCAACAGGAAAAAAATGTGACTATAAAGAAATACTTCAAACTCTTCTGCTAATTCTGCTTGATTTTCTGCCTGTTGAACCATTGGTCTCAGGGAAAGGAAGATGAGACCAGAGGTTTTCCAAGGCAGACTGTCTATAGGTTTGAGGCAGAATTTCCCTCAGGCTGTAAAGCTTTGTTGTGGGCTAATTAGGCTTTTAAGGAGATAACCTTTATTCCTACATCTAAAAAATAATCTACAGTTTTTTTTTCTTAATTTTTAAACCAATTTTATTTTTTATGTGTATTTATTTTTATTTTATATGTGCTTACTTGAGTGTACATGTGTGTACCATGTGTATGGCGTTCTAGTGGAGGGCAGAAGAGGTGTAAGATCCCCCTGAAATAGTTGCCCCATAGAAACAGTTGTGAGCTGCCATGTGAGTGCTAGGAATTGAGCCTGGGTCTTCTGGAAGAACATTCTTAACCACTGAGCCAATTCTCCAACACTATTTACAAATAATTTAGGGTGCTTAAAATTGATAGGAATATTTGTATAAAAGTGTATTAAACATTTTCTGTAGGATTTTGTTCTATTTTTGTATTTATTGCTGACTTGTTCTATATGAAATACTTGAAAAAGGATTCATGCATGTTGTTGATAGAGAAACCTGATGGCTTAATCACATTTCCCATGCTGATTTTTTCCTTGTGGGCTGGGCTGGCAAGAAGAGAAGAGAACACCTCTTCTTTCTTTTCCACTGTTCAGGATCAAAATCTTGAAATATCAGAGTTACTCATAAACTCTAAGAGTGAGCTGACCAAGGCCGAGACCGTCATTCAAAGCCTGGTTAGCAGGGAGAGGTACCATTTACCACCTCCCTTGGGAAGGGTGTGTTGTTTCTGAGGACTTGGCATTTTGGATTGTGGGTTCATACTGGAATGATTAAGGGGTGATGAACATTTGACATTCTCTGAAGCCTCTGTCTGTTCTTCTCTGGTAGATGAAAAACTGGAAGAGAAGATATTTTCAATTGGATGAAAACACAATAGGCTACTTCAAATCTGAACTGGTATGCAATCACATCATAAATATGCTTTCATATACTTGGGAGGTCACACTGCAGTGCTTGTGTGATTATATGCTTGTATGCTGTTCTGTTCTTCTAATGGTCCAGTTCTGGGTTTGAGTGCACCTGAATTTCAGTCGGTTTGGTTGTAATGCATTTGGTTAGTCACATATTTCATTAATGTGTTTTAAATAAAACTACCTTCAAGGAAGCATTCCATCTTGATGGATCTAAAATTATCAACAGCCCCACATGTAAATCTCTATCAGAGGAATATTAGAAGAAGTGGTGTAAGAAATCCTCCAAAAGCAACATTCACCCCTCTGCATGTCTACCTTCTCTTCCCTGCTGCTTCTTAGCTCTTTCCCCATTTCCGATCACCTCTTAAGTTGTTTCACCTGGGATACCTTTTTCTGAAGGCAGAATCAAAGATTGAGTCTCCCTCCTTCCCTGTTTGAGTAATGCACCATTTAAGATGTCAAGTAGCCTAAATCCTACAGAAGATACGCGCATAAATTAATGAAATTCTTTCTCTCTTCTGTAAAACTGTGGGACTTTCATATGGTCCATACTCTGCATGAAGGCATAGAACAGCATCATGAACTTTCTGCCCTGGTAGATATGTTCCATACCTACATTGTTCTGTATAGGCTGTGTGTGGCTTTTGAGTGCTGGTAATATAACCAGTGTACTAAGGAAGTAAATTTGTTTCATTTTAAAATTAAAACGAATTCCATTTTAGTAATTTAAATTTATAGTTACTCATAGGCAGGGTTCTGTATTGGGAGCATCTTAAGGGTCAGTTATTTTAGGAAGCTGTAAAAGGCAGAAGCAACCTATATAGCCTGCTGTAGACAGTCAGAGCCCATGTGTAGTGAGGAAGCAGTCTTTCCCTGCCTGAAGAATGAGGGCAGGAATGCACAGGAAGTGGGTAATTGCAGAGACGAGAATGGGCACATGCATACTTGTTGATAAAATGAGGCAATATATCAAGGAAAATAGAAACCAAGGTTCTTGGGATAAAAGCACAGCTTCGTGATATAGAAATATACAGCAGACATAGAAATAGGTCTTTGTGTGAGTACATGTAAGTATAAAACATACTGTAGCTCTGTGTCTTGAGAAAATGATCATTTCTTCCTGAAAGAAACCTAGACTCCATGGATGGCAGATTTTGTAGCTGGGCAAGAGAAATAAATGCAAGGTGAGCGGGAATGTCTATCAGAAAGCAAGAACATGCTGAGAAAATGCTAGTCACTCTGAAGTCACTTTATAGACAGTTCCTTTACCAGATCATGGACAGCGAGAGTGTATCAAAATACACAATGATTATAATATATTACAGTGCATGCATATACATATATATATATATATATATATATATATATATATATATATATGAGTAAATGATTGGGTGGTGATTGAGCTCAGATAACTACAGTGAAGGACAAGATGCTTAGACAGGATTGACACACCAGTCTGAAATAAAAACTAAACACTGTGGGAAGAGAGTAGCAGTACAGGAAGAAGCCTGGCAACATCACCTCAATCAGGCACTCAAGTTCAGTGAACTTCAGTGCTGGTGAGAATGTAGAAACCATATACCGCCTTACGGGATAGCATGAAAAGCACACCACATCAGTTCTATGCTGCTCCTGCTAAAGGTATATAGTCTGGTTTAATCACCAGGTAACAGTAGCCACATCCAAGGGAGGAGGCAGCCTACAAAATAAATGAATTGCTATGATCTGTAGGACTCTGTGCTCCTCTTTCTAGAGGAGTGAGGAACACTTCTATACTAAATAGAAAGAGACCATGTGGACGCCACCTGCTGACTGTGGTAGCTATAACAGGAGGACTTGAGGGCGGCATGGCAAGAGAAGCAGCTTAGTTCCAAGTGACTGCTTTTAGTCTTTTTTGTAAATTCATTTTTTTTTTTTAATTTTTATTTATTTATTATATGTAAGTACACTGTAGCTGTCTTCAGACACCCCACAAGAGGGCATCAGATATCATTGCAGATGGTTGTTAGCCACCATGTGGTTGCTGGGATTTGAACTCGTGACCTCTGGAAGTACAGTCAGTGCTCTTAACCACTGAGCCATCTCACCAGCCCTTTTGTAAATTCATGATTGTTTCAATGTTCAAGAAAGAGAAAAGTGAGAACTATCTGACATAAAAACAAACAGAAAATACAAACGGTGCATTCAGAAAGAGCTTAGACTGAGTGTGGAGTAGAGTGGTAGCATGTATCCCTAGTGTGTGTGAGGCCCTGGATTAGAGCCTCGGTACCACTAAGCAGTACAGATAACTAAAGTGGTGTTCAGAAGTATGTTCATCAGGCTTTGGGAAATAACAGGTGTGCACTGCACAGATAGTATTCATCAATCATGAGGAGGCTGTGTCTGAGTGAAAAGATCACAGATACTCTCCTCAGAGAAAATAAGTGGAGAAGAAATAATATTTCTTCAAATTCCACGTTACTGTGTAGGTAGTGATGTTAGAAGAATCATCATTTGGCAGGCAGCTATGCCAATAATGATTTCAAGTAAGAATCCTTAATATTTGGTGAAACTAGTGGGAGATTTTTGTTAGAAAATGAAGTTCTGCATAGGCTCCAGGTATGTCAGTAGTGACCACAATGAGTCACACTCCGCCTCCACACCATGCACCTCCTGGTAGGATGGCTGAGAAGTATTCCGTTGCAGTGGCTTCCTTCCAGAAGCGTGTGGCTTGCACATCAGGATGAATAAACATCAGACTAGCTCCGACTGGGACACAGTCTGTGAAATAAGTGGCCTAAACATTTTATAGCTTTACAGGATGACAGACGATCAAAGAAGTAACCCACGAAGTAATGGGGACTAAGAGAAGGGCAGTGAGACAAGTCTGCCGTAGACTGAACCCTAGACAGAAACTCCGTCAGCTTGTCTTCTGCCATGAAGGACACCCATAGGGTAACTTATAAGATCAGAATGTGGCCTAGAGATTGTGGGCATACTGCAAGGATGCTGAGGTCCAGGATCCATAACTGTGTCATGATCATGTAAAATTTATTTTAGAAGTCAAGCATGATACCTAGTATCATGTCTTCAACTTGTGTGCAGATAGTCCTGAAATGTGTATTCAGACACATGTACACAGGCTTATAGCAAAGCTGGACTTACTGCATGGTACCATCTATGTCAAGATGACCTTCCAAAAGAGGAAGGTCCACCATGACCAAGTCTGCTACTTAGTGACTGTCATTGAGACCACAAACCGAGCTTCAGACAACATTGTGTATGATGGCATGAAACTAGAACTGTCCTGCGGCTGTAAGTCTCAGAAGGTGTATTTGTGACTGAGAATGGTCTGAGCTCCAAGTAAGATAGCTAGCTTTTGACAGGAAATGTCCTGTGTTTGCTTTTTTTTTTTTTGCCAGGAAAAGGAACCTCTGCGGGTAATACCACTTAAAGAAGTTCATAAAGTCCAAGAGTGCAAGCAAAGGTAAGGACTGCCTGATTCTTGGATAGCACACAGTATGAAGAACCAGGCTTCCCCTCCCTGATGAGCTTACAGTATGCGTCTTTCTCTGTTCTTGTGGGGATTTGTAATTGTATAACTTGTTTTTAATCTGTAAAGTAATTTAATTTTTTATTTGAAAACAAAATTAGGCCGGGTGGTGGTGGCACACGCCTTTAATCCCAGCACTTGGGAGGCAGAGGCAGGCGGATTTCTGAGTTCAAGGCCAGCCTGGTCTACAGAGTGAGTTCTAGGACAGCCAGGGCCACACAGAGAAACCCTGTCTCGAAAAACAAACAAAACAAAACAAAAAAAAAGAAAAAAAAAATTAGGAAATAACCCATTAGTACACTGACATTTCAGAATTAGTTCAGTAATGCAAAGGAAAAATTATTTTAAGCAATTTCTGAGATTTAACAGATTGAGGTATTTTTAGTTTTCAAAGGTGCTGCGGAACAGATTGTTGCAAGAAATTGCATCAGTTGTGCCATGATGAATTGAGTGAACTGTAAACACTTGGACTCTAAAGTTGCTTTATGTATCTTTTCTAAATGAGTTGTGTAAAGAAAGCATGTGAATAGTAATGCAAAGCTGGAAAGGGATGATGTGATTTTGTTAAATTAATGTTTTCTTTCTAACATTTATTGACACATACTTGCCACTTAGTAAACAGCTCAAACGATCAAACTGATTTATCTACAACTGAATGATCGTTTTTCATGACAGTGACATAATGATGAGGGACAACCTGTTTGAAATCGTGACGACATCTCGGACTTTCTATGTACAGGTAAGACACTTTTGGGGGGGGGGGGTCATAGATTCTCTTAAGAAGTTTCTAACATTTAGAGGTGAAATAAATGTAAATAATACTTGTTGGTTTTAACGAATATAATTTGCCAGCTTATTGAAGGATGTCACGTGGTAGTGCGTATAGGATCAGACGTGGGAGTGGGAGTGTTGTGTTATGAATTGGTGACATGGATCAAAGTCACATTTGGAAGAAAGAAAGTGCTGTTTTACTTAGGTTTTAGCATGTGCCTTCAAATGTATTATCTTTTTGTGTTTTTATTTAATATCATTTTTGGTAATTTCATAAGAAGGAAAGTCTCGAGTATAAATGAAATTATTGAAAAAAAGCATTTGTTTTTGTTTATGAGAGTTAACACATTTGCTTATTGCAGAAAAATTAAGAAAACAATGGTTTGTAAAATAAACATACTCCCACGTTCAGTCGCTGATATTTGCAGCAAGCAAGATCATTCTAACTGTATAAAGTTTTGTTTGCTTTCATATATTGTCATTTTCCCCATGTCATTAAAATTTCTTTGGAAATAGGTGGGTCTAGAGACTCATATCGTTAATTGGAATTAAAGGCATTCAGGAGGCAGAGGCAGGTGGATTTTGGTGAATCCAAAGCTAGTTGGGGCTGTATAGTGAGATCCTGCCTCAAAAATGTTATCTTTGGAAACATTTTAGAATTGCATCATACTCCATGTATTGTGACTGAACATTCATATGCATAGTTTTCATACATTTACTTTGCAAGTATGCTGATGGCAGCATCTTGTGTAAAGTTTGGCCTGAATTTCTGAGTCTTTCAGATGTTTCTAGGTCAGACTTAACCATCGGAACAGCTTTTCTGTTGGTGGCTTTGACTTTGATCATTGTCCTGCTACTAGTGCAGAATGAAAGCTCGGTCAGCTCCGTGCCTCTTCCGAGTTCTACCCTTTGAAAAATGCTCCTTGAAGTTATTGGCATTTGATAGATTTTTGGAGAAGGGGACTTAGTTTTCTTTAGTGAATTGATCATTGGTAGGCTGACGACACACCAAAACAGGCTCCATTTCCAAGATTAGCTGAGCAGTGCAACCTGGATTTGATGGAGAAAAGGGTTGATGAAGGGAGAGATCTCAAAAGTCGAGTGGGAAGGGATAGGATAGTAGAGAGGCAGGAGTTAGAGAAGGAGTATGTTCAAAATACACTGTATGAAGTTAAAAGAATTAATAAGAGAGTTAATAAAATAGTCCTAAGACCCACAAAATTCAGCGTCTAGTTTACAAAGTGCATAGAAAACACATGACATGAAAGTTAGAATCTGATTTTAGATCTACTTCTCAAGGAGTGAGGTCTTCTCAGAGGACAGCGTGAGAAGGCACAGCTTTCGGCCTTCCCAGCCTCATGCTGTGGCCATTCCACCCTGAACATTCTGATCTCGTGATGTTTAAATTCACACTGGCCAGTCTTTATCCAGAAAGAAGACTCCTGCTGAATTTGACTACCAATGTCTATTTAATTCACTGTTCTATTAGAAATTATTTCTAAAATTAATATGTAAGATGGTGCCAGAATGGCTTTGAAAGTGGCAGTTATTTATGTAGTAAGTTTGAGACAGCGTTTGACAGCAAAATAGCAAAGTCTTTGTTTCTTCCTCTTATTTCTTTTCTAAAAGCACTCATTATATATACTTTGATGTGTCTGATTCTAAACATGCAGTGCCTATCTTATATCTGCATATAGAACCTGGCTCAGAAAAACCTGGGTTAGAAATAGTGCTTCTAGAGCCAGGTTTGGTAACAGATACTTGTAACCTGACCGCTCAGGTTAAAGAGTGAATTGAAGGCTAGCCTGAGCAATTTAATATGACTCTCTGTCAAAATTAAAACAGAAATTTTAAAATAAAATAAAGCCTCAATGGCTGAGTGTTTTTCTTAAATGTGTATATTGGTTATTTCCGATGCTTACCAAAAAAGTGCTTTCAGGGGTTGGAGAGATGGCTCAGAGATTAAGAGCACTTGCTGCTTTTACAGAGGATTGAAGTTTGATTCCCAGTGTCCTTATTGGGTAGTTCACAACTACCTATAAGGACAGCTCCAGCAGGGTTCCATGCCCTCTTTTGTGCTCTATAGCTGGGACCAGCTGGACCAGTGATTGATGACTTTTTTGCACCCACTCCACACCACACACACACACAAATGAAGCTGGATGTGGTGGCATACACCTTTAATCCCAGCACTCAGAAGGGAGAGACAGGAAGATGACAGGCAGAGTTCCAGGACATCCAGGGCTATACAGAGAAACCCTCTCTCTAAAAACAAAACAAAAGTAAATAAAGTGCTTTGAAAACATTTTTTTTTTTTTTTTTTTTTTTTGGTTTTTCGAGACAGGGTCTCTCTGTGTAGTCCTGGCTGTCCTGGAACTCACTCTGTAGACCAGGCTGGCCTCGAACTCAGAAATCCACCTGCCTCTGCCTCCCAAGTGCTGGGATTAAAGGCGTGCGCCACCACTGCCCGGCGAAAACATTTTTTTTTTAAAAGAAATTATTGCCTTTGAATGTGGTTGCAGGTGACATTATATTGCCAAGTACAGAATTTATGGAAATAGAAGGTGAATTTTGAGAGAAAATTTACTGAAATATCCCTTTTATTTCCATTAGGCTGATAGCCCTGAAGAGATGCACAGTTGGATTAAAGCAGTCTCTGGCGCCATCGTAGCACAGCGGGGACCTGGCAGATCATCCTCCTCTGTAGGTTTTCTTCTTGGGGAGAAACTCTACAGGGCCTGCATCCTTGGAAGTTGTTTTCTTCCTCTCCCCTAATCCTTCAGTTTCTTTCTTTGTTGAGATTATTTGCATGTTGACTTTCATACCAATTGGACTTGTAAAAGTAATGTTCCCTAATTGAGAGCTTCCTTGTAGTGTCCTGTGCATAGCTTTCTGTGCACATTGTGTTCACGCACAAGCTGGGCGGCTAAAGAATAGAGCCTTCCTTCCTTTGTTCTTGCAGTTAGCTTCTTGTTAGTGGGTCAGGGTATAGCAGTTTGACACCCTTGGTGTGGCACTGGCCTGAATGCACTTGCAGTTCTACCAAAACACGGTTTTGTGATGTCCTGGTCGTCCCTTTACTTGCCAATTTTCAGTTAAGATTTTTTTCCCTTGATGGTGTTCCACTGACCAAGCTAGAGGCTTAAGTACAGTTTTATGTTTCCATTCATTTTTTTCTATTTCATGTTATTTCAATTTTCTTCCAGGTTGATACAAAAAAAAAACTTGTTAACTTTTCTGTAGTTTGATAGTAATATTGTAACAACTAAATGCTTTGTCATTCAGACATTGCCTGAGAAACAAGGGTTATTCATTTTGTTCAAGTATATCCTAAGGAATAGTTTGGTTTGGAATACTTTGGCCATTCATCTATGTTCTGAAAATGCAAACCTTTTTGAGAAGTCTCACCTTAAAAGTAGCACTGTTGTCAATTGTTCTGATGTGCCGTACCATAGCCTTTATGATGTAGATTCTGTATATACCTAGATACACCTGCATTTTTAGTATTTTACTGTCTTTTTTCTCTTAGTGATAATGACAGATCAGTAGATAGTAATCCACTTTTCCCATTCCACAATCATTTATTGTTATAATAGTATTCCTTTAAGAATTCCTAAGAAACCTCTTTCATGGGTGTTAGTTTTCTAAGTGCCTGCATTCTATGTGACTCTTTCAACAGTCAAGTATGAGATTCTCTGCAAAAACAATGTCTGTTGGGAAGAGGGAAAGTTGGAGAAGGGTGTTTGTGTTCTGTGCTTTGTGGTGGGGGCAAATCGGACTGTCCAGCTGTGACTATCAGCAGAATTCTCTCTTTTCCTCCCTTTCCCAATATAGGTTAACTCTAATCTTAGCTTTGCACTGTGTTCCAGATGCGGCAGGCCAGAAGGCTGTCGAATCCTTGTATACAGAGGTATACATCAAGAGCTGGTGAATGCAGCACGTATGTGGGCTCTCATGCAAATGTGCCTTCTTAGTAGAAGGCCTGGACTCGCTCCTCCTTACAGCTGATCATAGAAGGTTGAGTTAACCAGACTGCCTTTTGCAGTTGTCATCACTAACGCAAACTATTCTACTGTAGTCATCAGGTTGAATATGTATAGTTAAAAAAAAGCAACCATACTAATAGAAGCTTCCAGAGCTTCTGAAACTGACTGACTGAATTGCTGCAAGAGTTTTGATTTTGTGTTTTGTGTATTTTGATTTTTTTTTATATTACAACACTTGAAATAAGCCTTCATTCTTCTGATCCAGGCAAACGTCTGCACACATCCATGTTGGATAAACTCTTGTCATCAGAATTGCATGGTGTTTTTTAGCTCTGGTGAAGTTTTACCATGTAGTGGGAGCCTGTAGTGTTTGCTGATTGTGGTGCTGTTCTCAAAGCAGCTAGTGTCTTGAATGAGCACGCATCAGGAGCTGCACAGCGCACTGCAGTGTCGGAAGATCTGTCCTTATAAGGGCAGTAAAGTCAGTAGTTACAGCTGGTCTGATTTCAGCAGTGTTAAAAGTGATTCAGTTGTACCCTTTTTTACTTTAAACATCTTAAGCCACACGAATGTGTGACCCAAAATAAACTGAATTGAAGCAGCTGCAATCACTTGCAGTGAAATTAAGAGAAGCAAAAAAGTGTCAGACTATGAGACAAAGTCTTGTCTGAGAAGTCTTGATTTTTGTTGATTAATCTATGGCCTTCACTTTTATGTCTTACATTTTATCTTTTTTAATACTTGGGATAATCCCCATAACTCTTAAATGCTGTAGGCTCTTCTTTCAACACAATTCAGTTGCAGTTGGAACACTGTATCCCATTTTAGGCTGTCTAGTGCCATAAGCTGCCAAATTCAGCTTTGGTGACAATTAGTTTCTTAGTAGAATTGGTTGTTGGCTATCGTTGCTTTGAACTCACCCCTAAAATGCATTGCTTTGGGAAGGAACTTGCACATTTATGCTGCATGGCTCATGCTTCTGCTTTGTGTGTATGTGTGTGTGCGTGTTGCTGTTTGTTTTTCAGAGAATCAAGTCTCACATTGAGTGACTAACTTTGTTGTTGATTGGCTGTGTCTGACCACCATTCCTCTTTCCAGGAGCATTCCGGCTGTCCTTCAGAATCCAAATACACTGTCCTCCGTCCTGCCGGGGCAGCAGCAGCCGCCTCACATTCCACAGCCTCTCGCAGCCACTCTCTGGTCTCAAGCTATACCATGGAGAAGCGAGGATTTTACGAATCTCTTGCCAAGGTCAAGCCAGGGAACTTCAAGGTCCAGACTGTCTCTCCAAGAGAGCCAGCTTCCAAAGTGACTGAACAGGCTCTGCTCAGACCTCAGAGTAAAAATGGCCCTCAGGGAGAAGATGGTGAGCCAGTGGACTTAGACGACGCCAGCCTGCCAGTCAGCGATGTGTGAGGTGGGAACACGTGGGCTGCCTGCACCACTCATCCTCAGTGTCCTTCCATGAGGCTTCTCGCCAAAGATGATAGAGGGTGAATGATTTCAGTGCATATGTTATACTGCCTGTGGGTGTACTCTGTAAGCTGGCAAACCAAGAATCTAGGGAGTGGCCAAGTCAACGTAATTTCTTTAACAAAGGAAGAAAAACAGCTGTGTCCATATTGACAGTCTGAAGCTTTACATGCTTAGGTGGTAAAAATGTGTGTGTGATATTTTTTTTTCTTAGTGACTTTGAAATTTTAAATAACAATTTAAAATATTAAAATTTCTTATTATTTTGGTCATTTAAACTTGCTAATGACTCCCTATGAAATATTCAATATTTACATATTCTTATCAACTAACATTATCAAGTGGGACATTCCCAGACAAAAATTCCTAAACTCATGATGTCTGTGGTGCTGCAGAATTTTTATCACAATGTGGACTGTTTAGAAATTCTAACCATTTATGATATATTCTGGCTGTGCAGGTGAGTGGAAAATTTTTCATAGAAGATTTGATTAAGCTGGGCAGTGGTGGGGCACGCCTTTAATCCCAGCACTTGGGAGGCAGAGGCAGGCGGATTTCTGAGTTCGAGGCCAGCCTGGTCTACAGAGTGAGTTCCAGGACAGCCAGGACTACACAGAGAAACCCTGTCTCGAAAAACAAAAACCAAAAACAAAAAAAGATTTGATTAGACAGTTGGTGCAGGTGGGAGTTGAACAGGGCAAGCAGAAGGAGGAGACTGGAGGTCACCTATAGCTAAGATTTCTGTTTTCTTTTGTGGGGAGGGGACTTCTTTATTTTTATTTTGGAGACTGGATTCTCTGCGTAGCCATGGCTGTCCTGGAACTTGTTCTGTAGACCAGGTTGCTCTTGAACTTGTGGTGATCCTTCTGCCTCTGTTGCCTCCCAAATTATAGGGCTGTGTCATCAACTTGCAGCCTGAGACACTTGTTTTAAAAACCTTAGTATTTTATTTCAGTAAAAATTATTTGGTCATAAATTTTGGGAAGATCTGATTTTTTTTTTTTAAGTCAAAGTTTTGTAAATAGATCTTATTTCTGAATTTGGATCAGTGAAAGACCTTAGTTCACATGCTAAGTCAAAACGGCCCTTAGTCATGAATTTGTTATGGCTTCTCCCTTGTCATCAGTAGTAACCTATACTCAAGTGCCTGTGTCTTCTCATCTCACTTAGAATTGTACCCCAAAGTCCTACATGATTGGCTTTAAATATCTGAATAAATTAATTTCAGTAGCGTAATTTGATATGTTAAATAAGATACACCAGAATGTTGGTGTTCAACTACCTGTGCAATATTTATGTCTTGAAAACCAGATCTGAGTATGCATTGAACCGTGGGGATATCATAAATAGAAGCACCTCTCTGAAGAGAACCCAGTTTCCAGTGTTGAGTAATAGACTGGTTTGGGCAAGTACTGTTTTGTGGCAACATCTTAGGTGTTTGCATCCCCAGGCTGCTGCTCTATGGTATTTCCAGTCTCAGACTTGTGTTTTGGAGTCATGGTGTTAGTGTTTTGCCTTTTTGTGTTCTAAGACTACTTGTTGGAGGATGAAAGATTCGCTACAGTGGTTTAGGGTTAAGATGTTCTATTTAGTTGCCCAGCACAAGAGCGTACCACTCACCTTTTGTATTCATAAGCTAATATATTAGAGTTCTGTGTAGTTTTCTCTTGTGCACCTGCATTAGAAAACCATAGGACAACAAGGTTGTTAAGCAGTGACAACCCTTCTGCTGCCGTATTCATCACCCAGTCTCTCTTAGAAGTTCCTTTTTCATGAACATACCTAGGGACCCTTGTACAGACTCTTGGCAGTATTGATGAGCCTGGCGCTGTTTGCTTTGGTACAGCCCCCACAGTGTGCATTCTTTTTATCATATTTTGGTATCGGTAATTTGATATATTTCATGGTGGTAAAATATTAGCTCTATTTTGGGACTTTTTATAGAATTACATTTATTCAAAACCATAGGAATATGTTCTTGTGATTATCAGGATCTCCTAATATTTATCTCAATTCTTTTCTAAGCTTATGGAAATTATTTAATTATTTTAAAGCATATTTTCTTGTAAATATATTCTATTTGAAGCGTCAGCAGTTACTTTGAATACCATACTATTTGCTGCATTTTTTCCTGTGTGTACAATGTATCCCCTCTCAGAACAGGAATGTACCTCCTAATGTTTACTGTTACACCGCTATCTTTGTATGTCCAGTTGGTTGAACACTGTAATGACTTGAGAATAAACCGCTCAGAATACATTTTCACTCAGTTCCCATTTTGTTTGGTTCAGTGCTCATGTGAACAAGTCAGTAGAATTGGTAAGAAACATTTTTGATTAGTTCATTTACTTACCTTTCAATAAACAGATTTCATTCCAGGACAGACAGGGTTAAACAGAAGAACCCTGTCTTGAAAAAACAAAAAATAAAAATAAAATAAAATAAAATAATTCAAAATCCTTGAATTTGTGGAGTTTGTTGTTGCTATTTGTTTGTGTTTGGAGACACGGTCTCACTTTATAGTCTTGGCTGAAATTCAGTATGTAGAGTATGTTGGCATTGAACTCACAGAGATCCTCCTGCCTCTGCTTCCTGGGTGCTAGAATTGTAAGAGTGTGTACCAACAGGCCCAGCAGATCCATGAATTCTTAAGACAGTTTCATATGAAATTGTACAAAGAAGATGTCTGTCTGTTTAGAAAGTTCGCTCTTTTTACTTAAAACAAAACAAAACAAAAGAATGTTTTCAAAATTAAATGTGAAAATTACTGGTGAAGCATGTTTGAATCATTGAGCTGCATAGAGCTCAAGGTTATTGATCAGGCTGGACTGAGACTGACTGCAGAAGACATAGATCCCCAAGCTGCCTGCCAGTGGGGATAGTGGGAAAGGGGCTGAGATGTGTAGTCAGCTCCCCAAAACTAATGCTCAAGAGCCTGCTTTTTGAAAAATTGGGCTGTAGTGGATTCTATGTCTAGAGTCTAGCCCAGTGCCTGCTGCCCAGAGTAAACTCAAAGGCTTAGCCACTGAGCAAAGGAAGGGCCACTATTATAAAGTATATTGAACTTTACACTTATAATTCAATTGCATTATATTCAATTGAAATACAAATTTAGTCACCCAAAGTTGCAGAATTTCCAAAGACACCAGCAGTGATTTTAGGTGTCTCTGTTTGTTCCTTGTGTCTAGTTCATCATCAAATCCTGCTTTATTGGGGGGGGGGGGGGGGGGGGGGGGGGGGGGGGGCGGGGCGGCGGCGGGGCGGGGCCGCCGGCCGGCGCGCCGCGCGGGCCCGCGCGGGCCCAGCGGC